AGGAGGAGGAGGAGGAGGAGGAGGAGGAGGAGGAGGAGGAGGAGGAGGAGGAGGGCTTCCAAGAGGCCTCGGGGCGTGGCGGGGCGGCCTGCGATCTTCGGCCTGGCCCTTTTTCCACCGCGCGCCCCCGAAAGACGCGCCCCCGAGGTACCCATACCGCTACCCTTCCCTCTTTTTCCTTTTTGGGCATCTGGGGATGCCCTTGTCGCCACCGCTGGATCCGCCTCGGCATGCTGGTCAGTGCACACCCCGGGAGAGGTGCGAGGAGTGGCGGTAGCGGTGCCTCCTGGTTCCCCCAGAGCGGGGTCGTGGTTTTGGCTTGGCCAGGACATTGATCTGGTCTTGGCTGGGGAGTGCTGCTGGCTGGGCCGGGAAGTGCTGCAGGGCTCGTGTGTCTCGGCGTCGGTTGCGCGTCTTGGTCTTTGCTCTGGGGGCTGGCACGAGGGCGCAAAGCTGGGTGATCTGGAGATTGACAGAAGCGGAGCCGCCCCAGGACTCGGGATACGTGCACGCGGTCAAGCTGTACCCGGCCGGGGCCACCACGAACTCCGATTTCGGCGTGACAGATTACGGCAAGATCATGCCGGCGCTCAGGAAGATGGAGGAGCTGCTTCGATCGTCTTCTGCCTCGTAGCCAGCAGCAGGCCGTGAGTCGGTTCAGAGCGCTCCACGAGGGCTGCGCCCCTCGAGGAGCCGAGGGGGGTGACGTTTCGCATGCGGCGGAGGCCCACGCGTGGTTGGGTCCGTGCAGGCCAGCGGGAGTGAGCCAGTGTCGGTTTTGCCAGCGGTAGCCGACGGAAGTCAGAACGGACGGTTTTTGCGGATCTCCACATCGCAATCAATGTTAGGCGCTTCCCTATGTCAAGAGTCGAGCGGTGTTGGGCGGAAGCCCCATCTAGTTCCAACGCCTTCCTACTACATGCGTCTGCCCACGTCCTCTGACCGACGGCTACCCATAAGAACGTGATTCCCAGGGCATCTGGAGGCGGCTCTATCAAACCATGTCCAACATGTGCATCCAGTTGCGGTTGGCGTGTCCGTTCGCTTGCTTCACCGGGTTGCGCGGAGACGTATTGCAGCACTTCGGCACCAGGCTAGACCTTAAACATGCAACACGGATATAGTAGCAGATGGCATTTCGCAACGATGTGTGATTGTCAGGGTTGTCTACACAGTGTGGTGCCCATGATACGGCGTATAAGCCAGGGTGCAGCCGATACAACCAGGCAGCATCCTCAATGCTCGAACCATCATTGGTGGTTGTTTTGGTGGATGACCAAGATTGGCATTGCCTAGTGTGCGTTCTCTTATGCCGTATCACCAGGCGCTTGCGTCGCAAAGCCAGCTTTCATCGTTGATTGCTGACCGATTCAGCCAGCTTCGTTCTCCATTGAGGAGCTGGGGCTTCTCCTTCTGGTGCATGGAGAATCCACGGATCAGAGCGTGGACGTCTTTGAGCGCGAGCAGCATTTTTATGGCGGGGGGGGGAGGAGCCGTTTGCGTGGAGGAGGCCTAAATTCTTTGGAGTCAGGAGGACGACGTGAGCCGTTGTCGGCAGAGCGCACGTGGTGTGAGGAGGACAAGGAATCGAGCGGGCAGTTACAGCATGCGTGTCGTATGGCGTGTGATCGTGCTGAGGATGATGGCCTGTAGGTTTCAGGGCGCATGTGGCTTGAAGCGCACATCGTCGTGCGAAAGCTCACGGTTGGAGAGAGTGGGCCGTGGGATTGAGACGAGAAGGAGGAGGTGGAGGAACACGACGAGGAGACGGACGTTAGTCGATGATTCCCATTTTGAGGGGAGCATGGGTGCGGGGGGGGCAGGGTCGCGAACTTCGATCCCCGACGGCCCCATCTTCTAGTGTCGCCCCAGAGCTCTCGAAACGTTCTTCTGGATTGCGCCTGCCGTCCCGAGCCCAAGCAGCCTTGTGCCGAAGGAGAAAAAACGCCATATACCGCATAGACCACCCTTCGGGTGATAAGGAGGCGAGGGGGGGGGGGACCACCGTCGCACTCGATCGATCTCACTATCGATCTCGCTATCGATCTCATTATCGATCTCATTCGATATCTCACAATCGATCTGGCTATCGATCTCACACTCGATCTCACAAACGATCTCACTATCGATATCACAATCGATCTTACAACAGATCTCACAATCGATCTGGCTAACGATCTCACGATCTATCTCACATTCGGTCTCACGATCGATCTCACTACCGATATCACTATCGATCTCATTCGATCGATCTCACAATCGATCTCACATTCGGTCTCACTATCGATCTCACTATCGATATCACAATCGATCTCACAATCGATCTCACAATCGATCTCACTATCGATCTCACTATCGAACTCACTATCGAAGTCATGATCGACCTCTCGTTCGATCTCACTATCGAGATCACAATCAATATCACAATCGATCTCACATTCGGTCTCACTATCGATCTCGCTATCGAACTCACTATCGATCTCACTATCGATCTCACATTGGGTCTCACTATCGACCTCACTATCGATATCACAATCGATCTCACAATCGATCTCACATTCGGTCTCACTATCGATTTCACTACCGAACTCACCATCATCACCACCATCATCATCACCATCATCATCATCGTTGTCAACATCATCATCATCATCATCATCATCATCATCATCATCATCATCATCATCATCATCATCATCATCATCATCATCATCATCATCATCATCATCATCATCATATCATATCATCATCATCATCATCATTCATCACGACGGGAACCAGCGACATCGGGGACACCGCGGCCCCCGTCGCCCGGAAGGGAGACATTTGGTCCGGCACGGCGCCTCAGCCACAGGAGACTTTCTCTAGCCCGCCCCACGCAGCTTCGCCTCGCCCGCAGGCACCGCACCCGAACACGGAAACCGAATCGATTTCCCGGTAGGGGGGTCTCCGTTCCACTTCGAGTTTTTATTTTTCTTTCACACCCCCTCACCTCCGACATAAACTTTGAGCTTTTGGCGCTTCGCGCGTTTTTCCTGGATCCGCGCTGCCCCCCCCCCCCCCCCCGGCGGCCGGCGCCACCCCTGGCGCGCTTCGACGAAAGGATGGGGAAACCGAGGTGAGTGGGAGGAGGATGAGGATGATGAGGATGAGGAGGTGGAGCAGGAAAAGAAAGAGGAGGAGGAGGAGGGCGACGACGACGAGGTGGAGCAAGAGGAGGAGGAGGAGGATCAGGGGGAGGAGGAGGAGGCGAAGGACGAGGAGGAGGAGGAGGAGGAGGAGGAGGAGGAGGAGGGGGACGGAGGAGTAGGAGACGAGGAAGAGGGGATGAGGAGGGGAGGAGGGGAGGAGGCGGAGAGGAGGGGTGACGACGAGGCAAAAGGAGTAAAAGGTTGAGAGGTGGTGGAGGGGTAACAGGGTCGGACGGGGAGACAATGGGAGGAGGACCAGGAGGAGGAGGAGGAGGAGGAGGACAACCAGGCTGAAACCAACCACGCTGAAATAAGGACTGCTTTGGGCTCAGGAGGCGCTCGGGTGTTCGGGCCGTTCCTTGGACTTCCGTCGCGGATCCTGTGTGTGGCCTAGGCCCGCCGCGGCCAGAACAGCTCTGCGTTCCCTCTGGCAGCACGATGACTGTAATTACGAGGAGGAGGAGAAGGGAGAGGGGGAGGGGGAGGATGACGAAGAGGAGGAGGAGGAGGAGGAGGAGGAGGAGGAGGAGGAGGAGGAGTGAGGAGGAGGAGGAGGAGGAGGAGCGTGGGGAGGAAAAGGAGGAGGAGGAAGGAGGAGGAGGAGGAGGAGAAAGGGGAGGAGGAGGAGGAGGAGCAGGAGGAGGAAACGAGGAGGAGGAGGAGGAGCAGGAGGAGGGGGAGGGGGAGGGGGAGGCGAGGACAACCAGAGTGAAACCAGCATGCCTCTGCGATGCTGCCATAGCCGCGCCCTCCCGCCCTCGGAAGATCCCCGCGCGCCCTCCGAGAGAGAGAGATCCGCTGCGCGAGGCGCCCCCCCCCCCGCGGGCACGACGACGGGCGCCCCCCGCGGGCCTGCCAGGCACCCGGCGAGGCCCCCGCCTCCCAGAGGGTACGCCCCGCCCGGTGAAGGGCGAGGCCCCGCCTGGTAAGGGCGGCTTTCTGGCCTCAGGTCGGGCCCGTCCCCTACAGGAGGAGTAATTCAAGGATCGTCGAACAGAAGTCTGGGGACGATGCTGTTCGCATGTGTAACACACTGGGGGGCATTGTTGAGTGTTGCCATGGCCCATCGGCCAGTGCCGCCGATCCGGGGCGCTGAGGATGAGGATGAGGATGAGGATGAGGATGAGGATGATGATGATGATGATGATGATGATGATGATGATGATGATGATGATGGTGCTGGTGCTGGTGCTGGTGCTGGTGCTGGTGCTGGTGCTGGTGCTGGTGCTGGTGCTGGTGCTGATGATGCTGATGCTGATGCTGATGCTGATGCTGATGATGATGATGATGAAGATGATGATGAGGGTGATGAAGATGATGAGGGTGATGAGGGTGATGAGGGTGATGAGGGTGATGATGATGGTGGTGGTGATGATGATGATGGTAATGATGATGCTGATGCTGATGCTGATGCTGATGCTGATGCTGATGCTGATGCTGATGCTGATGCTGATGCTGATGATGCTGATGATGCTGATGCTGATGCTGATGCTGATGATAATGATGAGGGTTATGAAGCTTGTGAAGGTTCTGAGGGTGATGATGCTGACATGAAGACTCGTCATTCTCGTCTTAATAACATGTTGAAAACAGTACTGCTAACGAGGAGCCCTTACAACTTTCTGGCTTTGAGCTAGTAGTATCGGGAAGGGGGGCGGGCACCGAGCCCCTGGTGCCACGGTGGGGGGTGCCGGCACCGAGACCTAGCTGCGGCACCGGGGGGGGAGGTTCCGGCACCTGTGCCGGCTCCGGGGGGGGGGGCCGGCACCGGGGGAGGTGCTGGCACCCGGAGCGTGCTGTGCACAGGGCTGGGTGCCGGCACGGTGGGGGGCGGGCCGGCACTGGGGCGGCAGGGTGCCGGCACTCGGGGGGAGGTGCCGGCACCATGGGGGGAGTGCCGACACCAGGGAGGGAGGGGCCAAGACCCCCTCGAGTCATGAAAAAATCACAACGGGAGGTTTTTCAATATTTTCGGCCTCCGGGGGCCCCTACCGGGCCTCGGGACCGTCAAAAAACGACTCAGGAGGAAACACCGGTCCTGGGGAATGGGTCCAAACCTCTGGGGGTCGACGTCATGAAAAAATCATGACGTCGGGGGTCTGGGGCCAGCATTGGGGGAGCCAGGGGGGGGGGGGCGCAGTCTTTGGTGCCGGCCCCGGGGAAGAGGTCCGGCGCATGCAGGGGCCGGAGCAACCCTTTCTATATGCATGCGGCGATTATACTCAGGACCACTCAATGCTGACTGACCACTCAGTACCTCCGCTGGGCCTCCCAGGAGCCCGCGAAAGTGGCGACGGCGTCGCAGATCGCAAGCCCCCCAGGGGGCGGCGAGGTCCCGAGGTGGTCCGCGTATGACGTACCTCCGCTGGGCCTCGCAGGAAACCACGAAAGTGGCGACAGTTTCGCAGATCGCAGCCCCCCAGGGCACCACGAGCTATAGTGGTGATCCGCGTGGGACGTACCTCCGCTGGGCATCCCAGGAGCCCACGAAAGTGGCGACAGTGTCGCCGATCGCAGCCCCTCAGGGCACCGCGAGCTATAGTGGTGATCCGCGTGGGACGTACCTCCGCTGGGCCTCCCGGGAGCCCACGAAAGTGCCGACAGTTGCGCAGATCGCAGCCCCCCAGGGCACCGCGAGCTACAGTGGTGATCCGCGTGGGTCGTACCTCCGCTGGGCCTCCCGGGAGCCCACGAAAGTGCCGACAGTTGCGCAGATCGCAGACGGCACGAGAGAAGAGGAGAAGGGAACACAGGAAACAGGAGAGAAGGAGGAGAGGAGGAGAAGAGGAGGAGGAAAGGAGGAGGAGGAGGAGGAGGAGGAGGAGGTGGAGACCACACTGCTCTATTCAAAACGAGTACCCAACACAGGAGGGTTGGTAAAAATTGAGGGGGGGGGAGGGGGGAGGGCCTCCCCGAAGTGGAATTGGGAGAGGAGGGGGGGAGAAGAGGGGGAAGATTGAGAGGGGGGGGGGCAGCGAGAAGGGGGGGGGGACGAGAACCCCGCCTCTCCCCTGGGGCGAGCGGGAGGGGGAGGTTGAAGAGACCCCCCTTGCGTTCAATGAAAAGGGTCAGGACTTAGCCGGAAAAAACGTCCCCCCTCCCTGCAGAGCGAAGCTTGAGCGAGCGCAAGCCCACGCTCTCAGAAACTCACACGCCGGACCGGCAGTATATATATATATATATATATATATGTGTATATATATAACCGATTAAAACCCCTTGTAGGAGGACATGCCCGACCCAAGGGGAACCTTGAGATCCTGGCGACTCGATGTTTTCGAGCCTGGCGTCTTCGCTCGATCTCGGGCCCCCGAGACCCTCACAGATCGATCCGGCTCGAAGAAGGAGGTCCAGGCGTGGTTTGTTCTGCGACGCTTCAATTTTTGGGAGCAGCGTCGGATCTCATAGAAGTGAGAAGGGGAAGGCCTTCTTGGAAGGCGTAGAAAACTCCCCAGACACAGAAAGCCTCCCAGAAGGCTGGAGGCCTTCTGAGAAGCCCCGCCGCCCTCTGAGAAGGCCGTCTCCTCCTCACTGCCCTCCCTCGCTCGATGCCGACAGACCCAGAGAGGCAGGATGCGATAGCCCCATTTTGACAAACATCAGCCCTCCATTTGTGCAGGGGGTGCGCACTCTCCCAAACTCATGACCATAAGAGCGCGGAAGTTTCAAGCGAGAGCCCCATGTTCAACACGGAGCGCCTCCCATCCGTGCAATTGGTGTCCAAGTTGTAACTTCGGATCTAGGCTGATGAGGCATATCAAACGATAGCCGCACTTTTTAGAGGTAGCAGTATCCGTCCATGCATTTTATGGAAGATCTGTTCAATGACGAGATGGCACGGCAGCATGGCGAGAGCAGCATGATGGAAACAATTTGAGCTCCACCATTGTACCGCCCGGTAGATGAACGTGCGCGGCGCTAAGGCTCGAGCCGCATGTTCGAAACCAATGGCCATTCATCCTTCTAATGGTTGGAAATTGTTATCACGAATGTGCGCGGCGCCGAGGCGGGAGCCTCATCTGGAAAACAGCCTGCCACCCATCCTGGTAACTGTTGGGGTTGCTCCGCTCCAGGATCGTATATTTGCAAGGGAATCGCGGGCGAAACGCTCTGCCCAGCCTCCGGACACGTGTTGTGGCGCGGAACGGGGAGCTTATGACTAAGGAGGAGGGATGGAAGAGGAGGCGAATCGGAGGAGGAGAAGGAGGAGGAGGAGGAAGAGGAGGAGGAGGAGGGGCAGGGGTAGGAGGGAGGTGAGTGGCAGAGAAAGAAGAGGAGGAGAAGGAGGAGGAGGAGGAGGAGGAGGAGAGGAGGAGGAGGAGGGGGAGGGGGAGGGGGAGGGAGGGAGGGCGGGAGGGAGGCAGAAGGAAGCGAGCGGCGTGCGAGCTGAGTGGGCTGGCGAGCTACTTTGGGAGGCCACACGATGCCCACGATCATAGCGCAGTGCCCCAAGCTGCGGGTGGTCTGCCCGCGCCCCAGAGGGCGCAGGCGCAGGGTCACTGCTCCTCCCCCTGCTCGGAGGAGCAGGAGGGGGAGGAGCAGGAGGAGGAGCAGGAGGAGGAGCAGGAGGAGGAGGAGGAGGAGGAGGAGGAGGAGGAGGAGGAGACCGCAGCCATTTTGGCTCAAGCCGTCCGCAGCGGACGAAGCCCCGATGCTCAAGCCCACGAGCTCACGGTCCAGTCTGGTGCAGGAGGTGTTCGTCGCCTTAGGAGGTGGCCGCGGGACGCGCCCCTGGTGCGTGGCGAGACACGGAGAGCACCGCAGCTGACAGGCGCCAGCGGCGGGCGAGGGCGGTAACTGCAGCAAACAATCTCGTGCGGAGGCTCACGAGTGAAAAGGCCGCGTTGGTGAAGCAGCTCGACGAGCTCAGCGAGGTGCTCGACGACGACTCCGAACTCTCGGCGCGGCTCCAGCTGGTGGCCCCCGTCCTCGCTGCTGGCCTTGCGGATCGCTCCCCGACGGAGCTGCAGGTGGCGAGGCACAGCACGGCCTCCCACGGCTTCGACGTTCTTGCGAGCACCACTGGCTGAGGCATCGCAGGCCCAGCTCCACCACAGCCAAAGGCGCTCAAAGGCTGTGGTGACCGTGGCGGCGGCCTTGCAGGTGCGTGCGCACGTCGAGACCCTCTGCACGTGTGATGCCACGCTCTACTTGTACTCCTCCTGCTCTGGGCGTGCCAGGCCCCACGGGCGGGTGCAAGTGGCTGAACGCGGATACCGAGGAGTTCATGCTTTCGAGGGCCGTGGATTCGCACGCCGAGCCCGATACGAGACGCCCACCGACATCGACGAAGGCACAGAGGACGAGCTGGCGGCCCTCCCCATGGACGCCGCTGCCCCGTCGGCCAGGGGGGCGACGCGCGACGGCCCCCGGCAGCCGCCCGCGGAAGGACGCCGCCGCTGGGCTGCCGCCGCTTCCGGGCCCCCACGGGAGATGACTGCCCTGACGCTGGCCGGAGCTGCTCCCGGCGACGAGCCTGGCGGCCTCGCTGCCGCACTCGGTGGGCTCGGGCAGGCCCTCGCCGACGCGGCAGCGACGGCGCCCGCGCCGCCGCCGCCGCCGCCACCAGCCGGCTGCAGGCAGCTGTGAGTCCTGTTTCTTCGGGCTTGAAGGGCACCGCCTCGTTTCAGGAATCTGTTTGGCGAGGATGTGGGGCTGTAGGGGGCGCTCGCTTTCTGGCTCTCACCCACGGCGTGCCATGGGGCCTCGTCGTCAGGCTCTTCGGAGAGTTCGCGGCTGGAGCTGGGGAGAGTGCGTCGCCGAGCCGATGGCCATCCTCTGCTTCAACTTCTGATTGGGTCTACACTACCAATAGCGGGATACGCCCCGTATTGGCTACCCAGGGAGGAGGAGGAGGAGGAGAAGGAGGAGGAGGAGGAGGAGGAGGAGGCGGAGGCGGAGGAGGAGGAGGAGGGGGAGGAGGAGGAGGAGGAGGACGAGGAGGGGGAGGGGGATAGGGACGAGCAGGAGGAGAACGAGGAGGCGGAGGAGGAGGAGAGGAGCCCCGATGTCGGACTTCGAGTATCGATGGGTACTCGTCTGGGAGCGTTTCGCGGTGCCATTTTCCCAGAGGAGGAAAAGGTACCGATACCCGTACTTCTCGACCGTTTTCCGCATTGTCGGCCTCCCGGGAGACCCTCGTCGCCACCGCTGGATTCCACTCGAAATCTTGGTCAGAACACACCCCTGGAGAGGTCCGGGGAGCAGCGGCATCGGTACCCTTTGGTTTCCCCATTCCCCAAGACTTGCAGTCAACACTGATGGTAAGGATGAGCGACTCCCGTATGGTACCCCTGCATCCTCGCCTCGTCGGGCGTCTTCGGTCCATCCCCAACTGCTTGTGATGGCCAGCCCCGCTCGAAAACTTTCGGCATGGGCGTCCAAGGCCCTTGCAATCAGTCGGGCCTGTCCCTCTACAGAAGGAAGGTTCAAAATGACAATTTATGATTGTTCTTACTTTTTCTAAATTTTCGTCCAAAATCCCCCTGTAGGGGGACATGGCTGACCTAATCCTCATGGCGGATCCCTGCAATCAGTCTTTGGCTGCACGGAGGCGCCAGTGGCGGAGGCCTCCGAGACCTTCCTGAAGGCCCCCATAGATACACTGTAGAAGCATGCGCAGCGTATTTATCGCGATGTTGGTTGCGATGTGATCGTTTTTATGTATTGTTTTGCCGATCGGCGCGGGCCCTCGCACACCCCCCCCTCCCCCCCCTTGGAGTAGATCTTGACTGTTTTTGGTGCCAGTGTCGAGCGGGTGGGGTCTCCCCCAGAGGCCGCACTCCAGCAAACAGTCGCACGCAGCAGAGGTTTGGAGCCAGACCCCCCCCTCCCCCCCCCCCCCTTCCGCCCCATGTCGAAACGCCGAATAAGAAAACGCTCACAATATAAGTACTATCGACACCTACTCACCGGAAGCCTGGAAAGCAGCGGTGCGCAAGTATACTGTCTAGCGCACGCTCGCGCACTTGCTCACGTGCCTACGGACACGCGGTTCCATTCCTTCATTCAGGCCGACCTCCAGGCCTCCGGGGCACTCCCACCGAGACCTCGACCCTCGTTGATAACAAGCAGATATTGTTTTTTGGGGGTCCGGCCGATCACCCGGGGTTGTCGGGTCCGCCCTCCTCTCCTCCTCCTCGTCCTCCTCCTCGTCCTCCTCCTCCTCCTCCTCCTCCTCCTCGTCCCCCTCCTCCCCCTCCTCCCCCCCCTCCCAGGGAATTCGACCTCGTCGGGTGCGCGGGTCCGCAGGGGGGGAGGAGCAGTCTCGGTGCGCGCGGGCGCACGCGGGGCTGCCCAGAGCGGAACGGTTCTCGGCCGGCATTTTCCCCCCCCCCCCCCCCCCCCACCACCACCACCGGGGACAGCTCATGTTGTCGCCGAAAAAGAAAGCATCCTCAAAGCGACGCCTGGTCACGCGCGTTTGTTTTGTCTACGCATTTTTCTGGTTGACCCAAAGAGGGGTTCAAGCGATAAGGGGGAGTGGTGCAACATATTTGGCGCAATAGACTTGTAGGGTTGCCATACATATGGGGTGTGCAATACGTTCTGGGGCGAAAATGTATTGCTGGACTTTAGCGCGCAATGCAATCGTTGCAATACAATTCAATACAATTCTCCGGCGCAGAAAATTTGCAATTCAGTTGCCCAAAAGTTATTACACCACCCCCTTGCAGCAGGCTTTTTCCAGGCCCTGGGGCCCAGAGCCTCCCTTGAGGTACCTCATCGCCTTCGGCGGAAGGCCGGCGCGAGCGGGCAGAAGTGAAATGGCGGCGCGTCGGAAATGGCCCCGCATTTTGAGTGTCGGAGGAAGGTGGCAGAAGTAAAACCTCAGAGGAGGAAAAGGTACCCATACCTCTACCCTTCGCCTAATTTCCTCTTGTTGGGCCCCCTGGGAGGCCCTCGTCGCCACGGCTGGATTCGCCTCGAAATTCTGGTCAGAACGCACCCCAGAAAAGGTCCGTGGAGTAGTGGTATCGGTACCAGTTGGTTTCGCCAAGTAGAACGAGGCCGCCTCCGTTGGCGGAAGCCAGCCGAAGCATAAATCCGTGTCCCAAGAAGAGATGGCAAGGTGATTGGGGTAAAGGTTTCCGGAACCGGTCAAATGGCGGCGGGTCCGTCGGCGGAAGTCGGGGGAATCTCAAGTAAGACCTCCATATGTTGGGGGCTCGGAGGTTCCAGAATTAGCCACGTCGAGAAGGAGGAGGGCGTCAGGAGATTGGGCACGGCAGTATGGATGCAGTGTCTCATCGAGGCTGTGCTTGCTCTTTGCCTCCTTGTCTGTTCGGCCCCGTGGTTGGGCCTGCCGCAGCTGCAGTGGTTGCGACATGGGCGTCCGGGGGTCTTGCACACTCCGCTCGCAGTCTAACTCTGTGTCTTACTGCACGCAGCGAGGTCCAGCGAGCTGGGCCACGCCAGGCGACGTAAACCACAGAGTTACATTAGCATCCCATACGCGCCCAAGCAGGCACTTGGAATGGAGCAGCAGAGGTCTCCGAAAAGAGCACGGATAAATCTGCAGACGGCGACACGAGCAGGGCCATGATTTACGGCAGGTTCGTGGCGGCGACGCAAAGGAAAAGGGACAGGGACGAGAGCGAGACCGAGAGGGAGAGGGGCGAGAGCGAGAGGGGACAGGGACGAGAGCGAGAGAGAGGGACAGGAGAAGAACAACGAGGACGGGGACCAGGACGAGGGCGACGAGGTGGATGATCAGGGCGAGAGAGAGGGCGAGGCCCAGACCCCCGACGTCGTGGTTTTTTTCCACAATGTCGACCCCAAGAGGTCTGGACCCCTTCCAAGGAACCGGTTTTTCATCCCGAGTCGTTTTTGGACGGTCCCGAGGCCCGGTAGGGGCCCCCAGAGGCCGAAGATTTGGAAGGACCTCCCGTCGCAATTATCTCATGACTCGAGGGGGTCTGGGGTGGAGAGGGCGAGGAGGAAGACCAGGGTGAAGCCAGAAGGGGACGCGAACGACGCCTGCCAAGGTGAGCACATCACCTCCGCGATCGGGGCGGAGTTCGTGGAGTCTCAGGGGCCCAACGTGGCTGCCACCATCACGGCCCACCACCTGATGTACAACCGGAATGCGATATTCAAGGGAGGCGGCACTGCCCCTTCGTGCCTTGCTGTTTTTCCTGGGTCGCTGCTCGTTGCTTGTTGAGCTTGGCGCGATGTTCAAGGGAGGCGGCACTGTCCCTTCCTGCCGCCATGTTCCTGCAGGGCTCGTGATTGAGTGATGGTGTAAGAAGGAGAAGAAGAAGAAGAAGAAGAAGAAGAAAAAACAGAATAAGAGGAAGAAGCAGAATAATAAAAACAACCGCCATAAACATGAATGTTTGTTCGCTCCGCACGGGGCCCCCCATGGCGGCGCCTCCGGCGCCGCCCCTGGCGCGGATCCAAGGCATCCGCGTTCAGCGCCAAAAGCTTATGTTCATGGCGCTTGTTCTTCTTCTAGTGATGGCGCCCATCCCGGCTCGTTGCTCCCTGAGGTCGTTCGTTGGGCTGCGCGCGTCTGGCTGCGCAGCTGCGTATGCGTTGCCATGCCTGTTCGCCCGCGCCGCGCCACGGCTCGTCCGCCGCTCGAGCTCTCTGTGCTCCCTCGTTGCCGTCTCGATCGGTTGTCTCCCGTCTCCCGAGGGATCAACCCGCACTTCTATTGCCTGCCGATCCTCAAGACGGAGCCGGACCGCAGAAAGCTGCTGGAGTGCGCGATCAAGAGCCCGAAGTTCTTTCTGGGCACCGACTCCGCGCCTCACGCGGTCGACCGAAAGGAGCGGAGGGGGCTCAGACGGTCAGGCTCTACAGTGGAGACCCATGCCAAGGAACACCCTGCTTGCCTCCAGGGTGTCCCGGGCGTCGTGGGTTTCGATAGTTCTGCTGTGGAAAGCGTGACGCTTCCACACCAAAAAAACAATTGGCATCCTGGGGCTTCAGGGTTGGGTTTCCTGTGGAAGGTGTCTTGTGGTCGAGCTCCTACGGTCAGGTCGTATAGTAAGGATGAGCGACTTTCCAAGGCTACCCTTGCATGCTTGCCCCTTCAGCCCATCCTTGGCAACTTTCGATTGCCAACCCCATTCAAAAACGTCAACATTGGCCCTCCAAGGCCCTGGCATCCTTCCCGCGCATCCTTAGTATGCGACCTGATGGTGCCGGGCATCCTGAGGTTGCGGGGTTGGATTCCCTGTGGAAGGTTTCTTGTGGTCGAGCTCCTAGTGCAGCACCCAACGCCACGATAGCTGTTCGTGGCGTGTGCTCTGGGGACCTCCCGAATCCCCGCGGATATCGCTTCTCTCCGGGGGCGCCGCGCTTTTTGGCGGTTCCCCGGGCCTCGAGCGGGACGCCCCGCAAGCCTAAATTCAGGAGGGGAAGAATAGGCACACACAAACACACACGCACACATACGCGCACACACACACACACACATACACACACACACACACACACCCGCGCGCGCGCACACACACACACACGCACACACACACACACATCCACACACACACACACACGCACACACACACACACACACACACATCCACACACACACACACACACACATCCACACACACACACACGCGCGCACACACAAACGTCGATTTCCATGGAAATATTGGAAAGTATGAGCAGTAGAGGGGGGAGATATGGAAACACCGGGGAATCCTGGAAGTTATGTCTTCTTGGTTGTGCTTCCCTGGGTCCCTTTACTGAACTGAGGCCGTCACTGCTTCTTGCGACGCCCGGATCTGAGGGCTCCCAGAGTCTGGGGGTCCCCAGACGCCTCGAGATGCCCTTGACACGCGAAAGCTCATGGAGAAGTTCGAAGACGATCGACGAAAATGAACACGTAGACGACGACGAGGACGACGACGAGGACGACGAAAGCGACGAAAGCGACGAAAGCGACTGCGACGGCGACGGCGAAGGCGACCACCACCACCACCACCGACACCACCACCGACACCACCCCGACGATGACGTCGTCCGCGCCCGTGCCAGGGCCGCCCAGAGCCGCCCAGAGCCGCCCAGGGCCGCCGAGGGCCTCCGAGGGCCGCCGAGGGCCGCCGAGGGCCGCCGAGGGCCGCCGAGGGCCGCTGGAGGCCGCCCGAGGTCGCCGCGGGCGAAAGAGGGGCCTCTGGCGGGCGTGTCTGGGGCCCGCCACCGCGGGCGACGAGGTCGGAGACGATCTGCCACGCGCCCCTCCTCCTCCTCCTCCTCCTCCTCCTCCTCCTCCCTCCCTCCTCCTCCCTCCCTCCCTCCCTCCCTCCCTCCCTCCTCCCTCCCTCCTCCCTCCCTCCCTCCCTCCCTCCCTCCCTCCCCCCCCCCGTGAGCGGGGTGAACTCAGATATCCGACGGTGTGACTTTTCCCCACCCTTGCATCTTTCCTGGACTTCGGCCCCTGGGGCCGGCGAGATCTGGCCCCGGGGCCATCAGAGATTGATCAGGGAGGCAGAGCCCCCCCCCTCTGGGAAGGGGTCTGGAGCTTTGGGGCCGCGAGCTGAAAACATCACATGGTCGGATTTCTGGGGACGGCTCCTCCTGCTCCTGCACCTAGCTCCTCGTTCCCGTCGCGGGGTGAGGTCGGGGGCCTCGTTGGAGCGGGTCAGGCTAAGGGGGGAATGCATCGGCCCTCAATCGTTCACTGATCGCCGAATGACAGGGGCATGTCAGCTCACCCCGCCAGGGAACGTTCGGATTCGCTGCCCCGAACCCGTCGCAGATCTATCGGCGAAGTACCGCCGACTCCAGGTCGATGGTTCCCCCCGTGAGACGGTCCTCCCCATCCCTATCGCTCCCCCTCTCATGAATGGCTCTTCCTGCTTCTCCTCCTCCTCCTCCTCCTCCTCCTTCTTCTTCGTCTCTTCCTCCTCTTCCTCCTCCTCCTCCTCCTCCTCCTCCTCCTCTTCCTCCTCCTCCTCCTCCTCCTCCTCCTCCTCCTCCTCCTCCTCATGCTCCTCATGCTCCTCCTCCGTCCTCCTCCGCCCTCCTCCTCCTCCTCCTTCTCCTCCTCCTCCTCCTCCTCCTCCTCCTCCTCCTCCTCCTCCTCCTCCTCCACCTCCTCATGCTCCTCCGTCCTCCTCCGTCCTCCTCCTCCTCCTCCTCCTCCTCCTCCTCCCCTCCTCTCTCCTCCTCCCTCCTCCTCCTCCTCCTCCTCCTCCTCCTCCTCCTCCGTCCTCCTCCGTCCTCCTCCTCCTCCTCCTCCTCCTCCTCCTCCCCCTCCTCCTCCTGCCACTGCGGCCACTTGGGCGTGGCCAGCCCTTGAACCTTGAATCCCGAAACCCTCCCCACTCTTCCCTCCTCGCCCTTCTCTGTAGCTTCTTGTGTGAAATTTCGGCTCCCAGATGCCATTTACCAGCCCTCTGGGGCAAGCAGCGCAGGATGAACAACCAGTCCACGGGAAGGCGTCGGGACCGTGCCAGGACCAAGTTTTGAACACGAGGCCGGGGGCCTGCGACCCCCCTCAGATTTCGCTGTCGTCTTTACAAAGGTTGCGTTCGTTCGGGGACGTCCTTGGCGTCTGAGGCGAGGCCTCCGTGGAGGCTTCCAGGGACCTCTGGAGCATTCCCGGGGGGCCCCGCGCCGCAAGTCCGCGAGCATTCTTTTTTGGTCGGCGGCCGCGCGACTACGGTCTGGCGGCAACAAGCGTGTCCGGGACGGCGGTACAGGCTAATTGCACACAAGGTGCGGTGCACGTGCATTGAGCAAAATGCTCCACATTCGCAGTGACGCACCTAGGCGCCGCCCGGTCCAAAAGAACGAGCGCACAGTGGTGCGGGTGCTACGGAACGTCGCCCTTGCGGCGCCAAGCTCCGAGCATCACCCCAGACAAACAACTGGCACCAGCCCGGGGAATCGGCTGCTGGTGGTGGAAAACGGGCCGTCGGCGCTGAAGGCTGGACCACTCAGCGCGCAGCCAACGAACGCCACTACAGAGCTGTTGGGGCTGGCGGCGGCCGACGGACGAGTCGGTACTGGTGGAAAAGGGGAGGCGCGGAGAAACGCGGGCGAGGCATCACTCTGGCAGGGCATCCGTCACAGTCACCCTCACCTCGGGGGACACCGCCGTCCTTCCGAAGTCACAGTGCCGACCGGCTGTGGGAGGGCTCCTGCAGCCCGCAGAGTGCGACTTGGCGTGGAGAGGGGGGGTGCAGCTAACCGCCGCAAGAGATACGTAACTGGATGGCAGCTGCACGCCGAGAGCGTATACACGTGTGGGGGGTGCAGCTAACCGCCGCATTAGGCACGTAGAAAGAAGGGGGGTGGCCGAACGGTGCCGGTGCAGCCCGGGCTGGAGTGTGCCAGCGTCGGAAGCGCCACTTGGAAGGCCATGTTGCGCAGCATTACGCAACACAGCTGAAGTTGCACCTGTCAAAAAAAAACGCTGAGCGGCGAGCAGCCCGCGAGCACTCCCGGAGCGTTCAGATTCCGGTGCGTGTGGTGAGCGGCGCCCAGGAATTAGGAATCAAGGAGGAGTCAAGGGTCGCCATCCTCACGCTGGGGCCACGGGGAGGATGGGTCCCCATGGCGAGCGGCGCCCAGGAATCAGGAATCAGTGAGGAGCCAAGGGTCGCCATCCCCGCGCTGGGGCCACGGGGGAGGGTGGGTACGAGTGGCGAACGGCGCCCAGGAATTAGGAATCAAGTCAGGGTCGCCTTCCCAGCGCTGGGGCCACGGGGAGGGCGTGTCCCCATGGCGAGCGGCGCCCAGGAATGAGGAATCAATAAGAAGCCAAGGCTGCCAAGGCTGCCAAGGCTCGCCATCCCCGCGCTGGGGCCACGGGGCAGGGTGGGTCCCCGTGGCCAGCGTCGCTTAGGAATTAGAAATCAAGGAGGAGTCAAGGGTCGCCATCCCCGCGCTGGGGCCACGTGGGCGGGGGGTCCCAGTGGCAAGCGGCGCCCAGGAATTAGCAATCAAGGAGGAGTCAAGGGTCGCCATTGCCGCGCTGGGGTCACGGAGGTGGGGGGTCCCCGTGGCGAGCGGCGCCCAGGAATCAAGAATCAGTGAGGAGCCAAGGGTCGCCATCCCCGCGCGGGCGCCACTGGGAGGTTGGGTCCCCGTGGCGAGCGGCGCCCAGGAATCAGGAAACAAGGAGGACTGACTCATTGGTCGCCACCCCCGCGCTGGGGACACGGGGAGGGTGGGCATCCGCCACGCCCACCAGCCAGCGCGCCCCCTCCGCCCCGACCTTTTTCACTTCGGCACGGCACCCGCCCCATCCCACGCGCCCTTAGCCGCATCCCCCCACCCACCAGCCAGCGCGCCCCCTCCGCCCCGACTTTTTTCTTTGGGCACGGCCCCCCCCCCCCCCACCCACCCGCACCACCATCCCCCACCCACCAGCCAGCGCGCCCCCTCCGCCCCGACCCTTTTGATTTCGGCACGGTCCCCCCGATCCAGCGCGCCCCCTCCGCATCCCCCCCCCGCCCACCGACCAGCGCGCCCCCTCCGCACCGACCCTTTTATTTCGGCACAGTACTCCCCCCTCATCCCGCGCGGCGCTCCCCCCCGCATCCCCCCGACCCACCAGCCAGCGCGCCCCCCCCGCCCCGACCTATTTGTTTCGGCGCGGCCCCCCCCATCCCGCGCGCCCCCCCTCCGCGTCCCCCCACCCACCGACCAGCTCGCCCACTCCGCCCCGACCCTTTTATTTCGCCACGGCTGCTCCCCCTTCCCGCGCGCCCCCTCCGCATCCTCCCACACACCAGCCATCGCGCTCCCTCCGCCCCGACCTTTTTATTTTGGCACGCTCCCCCTCCGCGCACCCACACCACCACACCACCATCCACCCACCCACCAGCCAGCGCGCCCCCTCCGCATCCCCCTCACCCACCAGCCAGCGCGCCCCCTCCGCCCTCTTATTTCGGCACGGCACCCTCCCCACCTATCCCGCGCGCCCCCTCAGGACCCCCCCCACCCACCACAGCGCGCCCCCTCCGCCCCGACCCTTCTTTTTTCGGCACGGCACCCGCCCCATCCCACGCGCCCCCGCTTGATCTTGTCCGTGCCCCCCCCCCAAAAAAAAAAAAAAAATCCACGCGCCCCCCCTCCGCATCCCCCACCCACCAGCCCGCATCCCCCGACCCACCAGCCAGCGCGCCCCCTCCGCCCCAACCCCCTCTCGCCCTGGACCCTCCATTTTCGCTCGTCGTCGTACCCCTGACCCCAGCCTCCTCCCTTGGCCCTGGCCCCAGCCCCCCTCGCGCTGGACCCTTTAGTTTCGTTCGTCGTCGTCCCCCTGGTCATGGTGTTGGCCCTGGAGCCAGCCTCCCCCCCTGAACCTGGCCCCAGCCCCCCTCGCCCCCCTGGTCCTGCACTACCCCCCTGGTCCTGGCCCCAGCCCCCCTCGCCCCGCTGGCCCTGTTCCTGGACCCGGCCTTCCCCCCTGGCCCACCCTGGAAAAATCTACCGCGCTTCAGCTGTCAAACAAACTCATTCGAGCAGGTCCCAATCGACAACCGCTGTTTCAGCACCGTGCCGCCCTGGCCCCACCTGTCCCTCCTCTTCTTCCTCCTCCTCCTCATCCTCCTCCTCCTCGTCCTCCTCCTCCTCCTCGTCCTCCTCCTGGTCTCCTCGATCCCCCACCTGCGCCTCCTCCTTCTCTCCTCGAGTGTGAAAGTGCCAGAGCACGCGTGCCGCTTGTTCTCCTCGGGCGCGTTTTTTGCAAGCCGCAGCGCCTAGCGCCAGAAGGGGCCGAAGCCGCGTAAAACAGCGCCGTGACTTTTTGTTTGGGGGGGGGGCGCGCCGACGCGCGCCAGAGGGAGAGTGGAGTGGCTCGAGGGCGGCAGGCCTACTAAGAAGGTATGCGAGGGGCGGCCCAGAAGCCCCCCTGCCTTCCAGGAAGCCTTCTCGGAAACCTCCGGCCCCTCCTGAGAAGCGCTCCGCCGTCATTGAAGGCCGCCTAGCTCGATCCAGCCACGCCCCGGCGTGCCGCCAGGGGCCGAATGCTCGCGGGAACGGCGCCACCGTGGTCCTCGTCGCGACGCCAGTCCCTGGACCTCCGAGGCCCTAGCTCTGCACAGTGCGGGCCGGACCTCTCGACAACTTCCTGGCTTCGCACGCCAGGTCGACCGTGGATTGCCCGGGGCCCTGACGACATCATGGCGCCAACATCGCAGAGCGGATTTCACTCGGGAAGCAATGGGATGGGCCCGGATTGATTGTCTTGGAGAACGTCGTTCCGGATTTCGAAGTTGATTTCGGGCGGATCTATTTTGGCCAGGGGTGAAGATTACAACAGATCCACGTGGAATTTACTTCGTTTTTCGCTCGTCGTTTCGGCGTTTTGCATTGACGGAAATCCACGTGAAAATCCACTGCAGCACGTTTGCAAGGTCGGTGCAGGGAAAGACGGCCTCCGTGGGGCAGACAGGACGCAAGCAAACAACACGCAGAAAATGGTGGAGTTCCGCGCGGATCTCTTGGATTGGCGCTGGGCCCCCTCCCTGGCGCGCCAGGGGCGGCCCCGGAGTCGCCGCCAGGGTGTTCCAGCGCAGATCCAAGAACTCCGCGCGGAGCTCCGAACGTTTATGTCAACCGTGTTTCCCTTCTTCTCGGCGGCGGGCGAGGGGGGAGAGTGAGAAGGAAAGGGCCTTCTCAGAGACCGGCGGGGTCCCTCAGAAAGCCTCGCGCCCTCTGAGAGAGGCTTCCCGCGTCTCCCGGGGGAGGCTCGGAGAACTTCTCAGAGGGCCAGGGGGCTTCCGCGCCACCCCTCGCTCGCCGCCGATCTTCGATCGGCGAAGCGGCCTCGGCGTCTCGCTTCTGCTCGAGGCTCTGGGCCGCCTGCTTCGGCCCCCCCGCAGCCACTTCGGCCCCAGCGGCGTGCTTCGGCCCAGGGGGGCCGCCCCTTCGCGGGCCGGCCGGCGCCGCGGGGGCCGCGCCCGCATGGCTTTCGGGGTGCCACGCTGCGCCTCGCCGCGGCGGCCGCATCGGGCTGAGCGAAGGCGACGGGCGACGACGACGACGACGACGACGACGACGACGACGACGACGACAGCGGCGGCGGCGGCGACGACAGCGGCGGCGGCGGCGACGACAGCGGCGGCGGCGGCGGCGGCGGCGGCGGCGGCGGCGGCGTTGGTGGCCTCGGCGGCAGCGGCGGTGGCGGCGGCGGCGGCGGCGGCGGCGGCGACGACGACGACGACGACGCAAGGACACGACGCGAGGGCACGCGGGCGACAACGGGGACGACGACGCCGACGGCGGCGGCCGCGGCGGCAACGACGAGGGCGGGCCTCCGGCGTCGCGAGGCTTGCCCGGGTCTCCAGGGCATTGGCCCTTACAGTCGGTCCGTGCACCAAGTAAGGAAGCAGCCTTCCAGCAGGTGCCCCCACGGAAGGGTCGCATCCCACGATGGCCCCGTGGGGGACCCACAGAAGCCTCGGGACACCTTCAGTCCAGGGGTCAGCGGAGAACGTGCTCCTAGACGTCATATTGCAACATTGGTTTCGTATGCGCCAATTGTATTCAGGGCTGGCGGTGCTTCGTCGATTTCGGTTTCTGGGCCACAAGATCCTGGACGAAAAAGTACCCCCGCGGAGGGATCGAGACCTCCTGGGGCCGCGGATCCGAAAGAATCGTATCGTCGGATGTCCAGGTTTGGAAGTTTGTCAGGGGGAGCCAATCGCATCCGCCGAGATTTGGGCGGCGCCCGCAAAAAACAAGAGGCGGTACACTGGCGGCCTCCAGAGGCCGATTCCCGACCCTGGGACTGTCAAGAAAGGATCCAGACTGAGAAGCCGCTCTTCGGGGAGGGGTCGACGCCCCAGGGGCCCACATCGCGAGAACCATGCATCCAAGAACAGACGTGCCCCAGAAAGCTGTCGTTGGGGCCAACCCTTGGATGCCCAGCGGTCATGTCTTCGCGCACGCTGTGGCTAGAACGGTGGCCCTTGTGGGGGTACGTCACCCTTAGGAGATACTGGGCCCTCCCGAAGTGCGGGATGTTGATGTGCTGCTCTTGTCCACAGAGGGCAGCTATATATATATATATAGACACACACACACGCACATGTAAACATATATACATCGAGGACGCCGGCGGCGCATCACCGGCCGCTCCCTGGGAGTTTTTCGAAGAGGTGCGCAGCATCGAAAGTCGTGACGCGGCGCGTATGCCAGCTATCAAATAGCCGTCGCCCCATCCCGCCACCGTGCTTGGGTTTTGGGTCGGACGGAGTCCTCATGGACGCTTCCTGGGGTCTCTCGAGAGGGCTCTCGGAGGCTTCTGCGGGGCAGTTTAGGGGCCTCTTGGGGGCGTCCCAGGGGCTTCTTGGAGACCTCTTGAGGCCCTCTTGGGGCCTCTTGGGGCTCTCTTGGGGTTTGTTGGGGGCCTCCAGGGGGCCTCTTAGGGTCTCCTGGGGGCCTCTCGAGCCGAAAGCTCGACATGTTCATTCGGGTACCCCTTCTGGGCCTCCTCTTGGGGCCATCCTGGGACCTCTCTTGGGCCGTCCCGGGGGCCTCTTGGGCGGTCTTGGGGCCCTCTTGGGCCGTCTTGGGGCCGTCTTGGGGGCCTGTTGGGCCGTCCTGGGGCGATCTGGGGGGCCTCTTGGGCCGTCGTGGAGCGTGGGTAAGCCGAAATGGCGTGAACGTGTAAATCCTTCAAAAACCATTGAAAAATCCATGATTTTTGCTTCTCGGGGCTGTCTTGGGGGTGCTCTTGGAGCCCTCTTGGGCCGTCTTGGAGGCGTCTTGGGCCGTCTGGAGGCCATCTTAGGCGTCTTGGAGCGATCTGGAACCGTCTGGAGGCTCGCTTGGGCCGTCTTGGGGCTCTCTTGGCCCGTTTTAGGGCGCTCTTGAATCGCCCCCGGGCGCCGGAACTGTTCAGGGAGGGGGGGTCCGCCGGCAGAGTGGGGCCCCCTCGGAGGGACTTTCAGGAGGGCTTTGACCAGCCACTGGCGAAGGAAGGGGAAAGATAGTGCCGAACACTTTGTCAGAGAGGTCTCGCACGGCCCAACCCGCAGGGCGGGAGCGGAGGGGAACCTCTTGGGGCGTTCCGGGGGGTTCTGGGAGGCTTCGTCGTGGGGGCCTCTGAGGATGTCGAGGGAGGGCTCTCGGGGGGCGTCTGCGGGGCAGTGTGCGGGCCTCTTGGGGGCCTCCTGGGGGCTTCTTGGGGACCTCTTGGAGCTCTCTTGGGGCCTCTTGGGAGCTTCCTGGGAGCCCCTGAGGCCCTCCTGAAGGCTTTTTGGGACTTGAAAGTCGGAATGTCCGTTGAGGTTCCCCCTCTGGGCCCTCTGTTGGAACCGTCCTGGGGCCCTCGTGGGCCGTCCCGGGGGCCTCTTGGGCTGTCTTGGTGCCCTCTTGGGCCGTCCTGGACCTCTCTTGGGGGGCTCTTCGGCCGTCTTAGGGCGGTCTTGGGGGCCTCGTGCGCCGTCTTGGAGCGTCTGGAAGCCCAAATTGCGGGAAGCCGAAAAACTTAAAAACAAAAAAAAACAAAAAAAACATCGAAAAATGAATGAAATTTACATCTTGTGGCCCTGTCAGGGGTGCTGTCGGAGCCCTCTTGCGGCGTCTTGGAGGCGTCTTGGGCCGTCTGGAGACCATATTTAGCGTCTGGGAGCGATCTGGAGCCGTCTGGAGGCTCGCTTGGGCCGTCTTGAGGCTCTCTTGGCCCGTTTTAGGGCGCTCTTGAATCGCCCCCGGGCGCCGGAACTGTTCAGGGAGGGGGGGTCCGCCGGCAGAGTGGGGCCCCCCCCCCTCGGAGGGACTTTCAGGAGGGCTTTGACCAGCCACTGGCGAAGGAAGGGGAAAGATAGTGCCGAACACTTTGGCAGAGAGGTCTCGCACGGCCCAACCCGCCGGGCGGGAGCGGCCGGATATATAAGGGTTTCGCCCTCTGCCGCCGGCCCCCCTATTACTAGTGCGTGCGGCTGCGTGAATAGCGAAGTGGGTGCTTCTCGTGGCAGGATTCTCAGCAGCGTCTGCGGGTCATTGACAGAGCTTCTTGTAAGCCGTGTTGGAGCCTCTTGGGCTGGGGGGTCTCCTTGGGGCCTCTTGGGAGCCTCTTGGGGGCCTCTTGGGGCCTCTTGGGACCTTCTTGGGGCCTTCTGGGGCCCTCTCGGGGCGGAAAGGTCGAGTTCTCGGTTCGTGGACTCTCTACTGGGCCTCTCGGGACCGTCTTAGGGTCCTCTTGGGCCCTGTGGGGCGCCTCTTGGACCGTCTTGGGGCCCTCTTCGGCCGTCTTGGGGCCGTCTTGGAGGCCTCTTGGGCCATTATGGGAGCCTCTAGGGCCGTCATGGGGCGATCTCGGGAACCTCTTGGTCTGTCTCGGAGCGTAGGAAAGCCGAAAAGGCGAGAAGGCCAAAAACCTTCAAAACGTTCGGACAAAATCTTTGATGTTTGCTTTGTGGGGCCCTCTTGGAAGGCCTCTTTGAGGCCTCTTGGGCCGTCTTGGCAGCATCTTGGGCTGTCATGGGGCCATCGTGGAACATCTTGGGGCCATCTCGGGTCGTCTTGGGTTCCTGAGGCTCTATTCGGAGCCTCTTTGGTCAATCTTGGAGGCCTCTCAGGCCGGTCTGGCCGCGCGGTGGCGTCACCATGAGAATCTTGGGGTGGCCCAGAGCAGTCAGGATTTGAGGTTCCCCCCCGCCCGCTGGTTGTTTGGTGGCGCGGCGGGGCCCCCTAGCAGACAGTAAACAGGAGGCAGAAAACATGACTGGAGGGAAGAAAGGCCAAACAACAAATGACAACACATAACACATGACAGCAGACCGCACACACCTTCGCAGCCTTGCACCCCGGGAGTGGGCCGGCGGATATATATATATATATATATATATATATATATATATATATATATATATATATATTTTTTAAAAAAAAACCGTATCCATTTTGGCTCAAGTGGGGCCGGCCCCTAGCGCCCCGCGCACAGGGCGCATTCCGGCCTGGCGTGCTCTCTCAGTCTCGGCCGCCATCCTGGTCCGCGGACTGGCTTGCGCGCGTGCTGCTCCTGGCGAGGCTGGCGCGAGGGCGCCGGCATCGCATGTCTGGCAGCCTCTCCGGCGTGTGCTGCCATGGCCTCCGGCGGCCGTGCGCCTGCCGCTGGTGATGGAGCTGCGATGGAGCCGCAGCACATGGCCGTCGGCAGCGCGAACACGGCGGGCATCGCTGCTGCCCCGCCGGACAGGCCTGCGCCGCTGCCGGACGCAGAGTCGCCGCACGAGGCATCGCCATCGTCCGCTGCGGATGGCCGCCATGCGCTGCAACGAGTGGTGGCTACGCTCACGGACCCTGCCACCGGAGTCCGTCTCGACATCTACGACGACAGCACCGCCACTAACATCGCGCGCGTGCTCATCTATGCCGCCAAGGCTCATGTCCGGGCAGCTGCTGCAGCTGCCCCTGGTGAACACGAGTCGCTCCTGAAGGCCTTCGCGCTCCCGCTCTCCAAGGCTGGGGCCGACAACGGGGATGAGGCTGCCAAGTGCCTTCCCGACGCCGAGGTCAGCCAGAGCCTCATCAGCGCCGAGTCTGACATCCATGCCGTCGAGCGAGGTGCGACCGCCATCCTCCTCAGCGCCGCGGCCCACAGGCGCGCTGAGGACAACGCGTCTCTCCACACCGAGGCCGACGAGGCCGGGCCCGGCGTCGCTTCTGGCACCCCCTTCGGACCGCTTCCGGGGAGCTCGGGAATCGAAGCCCCCTCCTCGCAGTATGAGGCCGTTCGGAGCCCGGGAGTTGGGGCCGGTACTATCGCTCACGAGGCAGGTGCCGATAGTCTGATCTTCACGCCCCAGCGTGCAGACGGCAGACCAGAGCATGGAGCAACCTCTGTCACGCCTGGCCTCTCCAGCCAGGTGCCGACACGATCAGATGCGGCTAACATCTTCGACGAAGTTCACCTTGCCACGCCGCTCGCAGCTAAACGAGACCCCCATGATCCCGGAAGCTCCAGTGACGCCTCCGCCGAGGCCCTTGCCGATGAGAAGACGAACGAGTCCGACAAGATGAGCCTCCCAAAGGTGCCAGAGTTCCCTTCCGCAGCGCTGAAGTCAGAACTCGTGGGCGCCGAGGGTAATCTGGACAGCAACGCTGATCCCAGGGACATCGTTGATGACCATCCTGTGTTCCAATCCGTGAGTGGAATGCAGGCAGATCTGATCGGACAGACAAGCACCAGCATGCCATTATTTGTAGGTGCGCATGGAGTGCCATTGAAGCTAATAGTAAAGGCTATGCACTCCGTCAAATACATTAAGACCCTCGCAATGAAGGTTGCGAAAATGCATGATCATGACACCGCTAAGTGTCAGGTGTCATTTGCTTTTCTGGACGATGCGCACGAGCTTCAGGCGGTAAGCACCCGAGATGATCTTCTGCTCACGTCTGTCCTGAAATCGTTGCCTAGTGACTCCCTCGTGGTCGCGAGGATTGAGCCTATGTGAGAGGCCCTGCCCAGTGATAGAGCCTCGTGGCGGTGTAGCTGCATGTCTTTGCCTGCTCTGCCCCGCCGACGCTTGACAGCCTTCGTGTCTGGATAGCGTCCTTGTGTTCGTCAGCCGCCTGCCTGGTGAACACTCCAGTGCAACTGAGCCCAGTGTCTTAGTGCACGCCCATAGTGCCCTCTTGCACTCAAAGCCTAGAGATCCGATGCTTGAGACTACCATTCCTTGTCGAATATATATATATATATATATATTATATATATATATATATATATATATATATATATAATATAATTCCTCTTCCTATATTTTCACAAGCCCGGGGGGGGGGGAAACCATCCCCCCCCCAAAAAAAAAATTAGACCCCCGGGATCTGGGGTTCTCGGGCTCCCTTGGACGTCCTTGGAAAAGGTCACCCGGCTTTCCGGGTCTCCACAAACGCCTTGCCATCAGACCCAGGGCGATCCGATGGGGTCATCAGAAAGGCTCAAGGGAGGCCCCAGACAGCACAACAGCGCTCCAAGAGGGACTCCAATTGCGTCAGGACGGCCCAAAAGACCCCCAAGGCACCCCAAAAAACTGTTCCAAGGGGCCTTCAAACCACAAAAATCGTCCCATCCCCTGAGTAAAACTTACAATTTTAGCAGATTCGCCTTTCGGATTTTATCAGCTTTCAAGACGGTTTCAAAGCCCCCGAGATCGCCTCAAGACGCCCCAAAAGGCCCCCAAGAAAGCTTCAAGACGGCCGAGCCGAGCCCCACGATCGCCCACGAGTGCCCCAAGACAGCCCATAATGGAACCAAGAGGCCCCCCAAGGGCTCCCAGCACAGACCCAAAAGGGCCATGGGAGGTTCCCGGAAGTGCCCAAGATGAGTCCGAAGGGGGCCCCAGCGGGCCCAAGCTCCCCAAGACGGCCCAAGAAGGCCCCAGGACGGCCCATGAAGGCGCCACAACGGCCCACGAAGGCCCCGAAAAGACCCCCACGATGTTTCCGAATGTCAACATTCATTGATTTTGCTCCCATGACATTTCACATTGTCACCCAGTCGTTGAGGGTCTCGTGGCATGCAGCGAAGATGCCCTAAGATGCCCCGTACGAGTTGCATATGCATGTTCATACCCTTACACACATACATTCATATGTACATGTGTACGCTGTATACACACATACAACAATGTAAGTATGTTGTATACACCTAGACATTTATACGGAACGTGCATGCACGTGCGCGTATATATATGCATGCCCGCATGTACGCACGCACGCATCCCGCTTGCGTGCAGAACTCAAAGAACCAAGGTGCATGGCGCGCAGCGCCAATGCAGTCTTGTATGTGTATATCTATATATATATATATATATATATATACGCAAGGCTGCAGTGGCGCTTCGCACCATGAACCTTGGTCCTTGAAGTTTGGCACGCAGGGGGAATAGCAGGAAGGTCAAGCCAACAATTTAGAGATAACTCCTTGTTGCCTTTTCTGGCATCGCCGCTATAATAATGTCATTCGTTGTCCTTCCTCCATGCTTCTTTTTCCTCAGTTTCGCCATACCCTGCGCATTCTCCCCATCCTCAGCTCTTTTTTGCGGAGGCTCCTCCTTGGAGAGCCTCTGGGGGCCTCACAAAAGTTGTTTCAGGCTTTCTTAAGGCCTTCTGGAGGCCTCCTGGGCGTATTCTGGGGTCCTCTGGGGGCTTCCTCGGGCCACCCTGCCTCCAACCGCGGTCTCCCTGAACGACCGGGTCACGATTTGGAATGCTTCGGAGGGTGTCTTGGGGCCATCTTGCGCCGCCATGGGGCTCTCTGAGACCCATCTTGGACACGTGTTGTGCCGATTTGGGGCTCGCTTGGATTGCTTGGAAGCCCTTTCGGATGGTTGTGGGGCGATTTTGGAGCCTCCCAGGCAGCTTCGGACGCCCAGAAGACCGCCGTCTTGGAGCGTCGGGAAGCCGCAAAGAGGGGAACCCCAAAATTCACCAAAAACTGTCAGAAAATCAATTATTTGTGCCTCTTGAGCCTTCTTGGGAGTGCTCTTGAAGGCCTATTCTGGGCCGTCCTGGAGGCCTCTTGGGCCATCTTGAGGTCACGTCGGTCACTCTTGGAGCGCTTTTGTGCTGTCCTGGGGGTCTCTGGGACGTCTCCATGACCCCCCTGATCGCCCTAGGTATGCTGGGAAGGCTTGGCAAAACGCCCTGCGAGGCCCGGGGGGCCGCTTCGAGGCCCGTCCAGAGGGTCCCAAAGCCCCAGATTCCGGGAGTCTGTTTTTTTTTTCGGAGGGGGGGTCCCTCCGCCCGGGCTAATCAACATATAGGAAGAGGAATACACACACATACATACATACATACATACATACATACATACATACATACATACATACATACATACATACATACATACATACATACATACATACATACATACATACATACATACATACATACATACATACATACATACATACATACATACATGCATGCATGCATGCATGCATGCATGCATGCATGCATGCATGCATGCATACATACATACATACATACATACATACACACATACATACATACATACATACACACACATACATACATACATACATACATACATACATACATACATACATACATACATACATACATACATACATACATACATACATACATACACACACATACATACATACATACATGCATGCATACATACATACATACATACATACATATATATGTATAGCAGGCTAGAGCCACCTTGGGCCCTGGATGATAAACCCTGTTGGTGACTTGCACTTGTACGCACCATCCCAGGGCCCAGGACGGCTCCGGTCAGTTGCGGTCGTGGTGTATATGCACTTGCCGTTTTTGGCAAGCAAGTGGATGCCAGCCTGCACTGCGGGGCGAAAGATCTGCCAAGGGATAATTATGTCGCGGGCTCCGGCACCCGCGTCTCCAACAGTCGCGACGCCTGAGTGAGGGACTGAGGGAGAAGGGAGGGAGGAGGAGGGCGGAGGGAGGAGGGGGGAGGAGAAGGGAAGGGAGGAGGAGGGAGGTGGAGGTATGAGGGAGGAGGAGGGAAGGGAGGAGTAGGAGGGACGTCTCTTTACGTTTTGCCAAGCACAGCGTGTAGAGGAGAAGATTGGGAGGGAAGGCAACCAAGTGCCGAGTCCGGGTGCCGTCAGCCCAAGCTGGAAAGCACGCCCGAATTTTCACCCCTCCAGGCGGAAGGCGGTGAGGGGACGCCGCAAGCAATTGGGTGGATGTTGGGCTTTGGTGGCCAGCGGGGGCAGAAGAACCCTGAACCAAGGGAGGACAGGGTCTAACCAACTGTCGGGGGTCCACCCGGGCAGATTTGCCAATTGTGCCGACTCAGAAGGCGAGCTGATCAGTGGGGTCGAGAGCCTACCCGCCCACGGACACGGGACCCGAAACCGACAAGACCACGTCATGGCACCAATTGGCGGCATCATCTGCTCCTCTGGCGGGCACGAGACCACAGCGCACGAAAAGCCACCTCGTCCCTTCTCGGCGGATGCTGCGAGTGCTGGACGCGACCGCCTTCTCAAGTGCTGGATCTTGCGGGGTCCCGCGAACAGGGAAAGACGCCTGTTTATTGAAGTAGGAAGACGCGTAAAGTGAGTTCCGGAATGCCCACTTTCAACGACAGATGGGTAGTGAGGTGACGGAGTCCCGCCATGGCAAAGGAGTTGCGTCTAAGACAGTTTTCCAGATGAACGATTGGGTCAGGCAGTGGACAGACGGCCACGATCAAGCGCCATACATTTTACTGGCGGCGAGCAAGGGCGGGCAATGAGAAGCAGAAGACCTTCTCAGAAGGCGGCGGGACTTCTCAGAAGCCCCCGCGCCTTCTGAGATGTTGTTTCCGTCTTCGGGGAAGGCTTAGGCAACCTCTCAGAAAGACCGGGACACTTCCGTGCCTCTTGAGGAGGCCTCCTCCTCCTCCCCTCCCCGCCTCGCTCGCCGCCTCTTCCTGGCCACGACGTGGAGGCTGCGCCAGCGAAGCGCTGGGCGAAAGAGCTGGCGGCGCTCGCAGGCGATCGGCTCACGGCGGTCGAGGTGCTTGGCCCGTCGAGGCCGAGGGGAGCGCACGGCCTCTCCTCCCCTTCAGTAGGGACGCTCGGAGGCGCGCCTCGGGCTGCACGGCAGCAGCCCGTGCGGATGCCCCACGCCGTGGAGCGGTACAGGCGGGGGGGCGCGCCTCAAGAAGCCATCTGCTCTTCGCCCGGGCGTCGCGCTGCGCGGTGCCTTCCCGCAGCCGCCGAAGGAGCTGCTGCGTGCAGGGTGCTCCAGGTTTCCCCTCGGGTGCACCTCGCGCACGGGTTCTCAGGGTCGGGTCTCTTGCGAGGGGTTTCTCGCGGCCGCGCCCGAAGTGTATGGCGTTCGGCCTCGTCAGTTGTTCGCCAGTTTGTAAGTTTTTCGCCAGCACTGGCGCACTCCTCCCCAAGCCCAGGGGAAGGTAAATGGGTGATAGAGCTGCTCCCAGGGAGTGCCAGAGTCTGATCCCGAGTGAGGTCTGGGATCGCTATTGCATGGAGGTCTCAGTCGGGCGATTTCTGGGACACGGCGATGGCGAGCAGCTCGGCCCTGGAAGCTGCGCTGCACCGTGCGGTCGCGTCACCGTGCATCGGCACCAAAGTGCGATTTGCTCCATGACCTTGCAGCTCGCGATCGGATTCAAACTCGAGATCCAGGGATAGGGGATGGGTCGACCTCTGCCTCGTCCATCGTGTGAGGCACCCTTCGGCTGGAAATGGAGCCATTCATACCGTCCGGTTTGGTGATCCCCCTCTGTCGGGGCCCCGCGCTGTGAGTCTCGGAGGTAGGGACGACCTCTCTGAGGCAAGATCACCTCGAACGCGTTGGGAGACTCCCTCCGACGCGGACCACGCAGAAACATCGGCCACCTCCAAGCTTGGAGCTCTGCAGGTCAGAGCGCTGTCAGATCCCACGGGGGTGGGGGGTTCGGCCATCCCTCCCAAGGGGGTCCCATCGGTCTCCTCAGCCTACCTCGAGAGTGCCTGCGTTCTTGAGTCTTGGAGACAGTGCCATCCAGTCCGCCCACGGTAGCGTCGTCGTACTCGTCGGGTCTGCACGCGGGGACATCGGCCGCCCCCCACCTGTCGGGCCCACGCGGACCAAGAAAAGGGCATCGACCACCCTCGCGCACGGGGCCCCACTGGTCTGGACGCTGTCGGATCCCGCCGATGTGGGGGGGGGGTCGGCGGAGGATCTGACAGGGGCATCGGCCACACACACACACACACAAAAGTACACAACCATACACACACACACACACACACACACACACACACGCGCGCGCGCGTTTGTTGGCGCCGCGGCCTCGCGCGCAGCGAGGCGGAGACGGTCGGTCGGAAGAGCAAGAACAGAGCGCACGCGGCCGCCCCCTCAGAGGAAGAGGCAGGGATCGACATGTGGATTGACCGTGCCATCCGCTAACCCGGGCATGGGTAGCGGTAGAAGACGGCAAAGGCGAGCAACACACACACAGCGGTGGAAGGTCAGCGGAAGCGCAGCTTAGCCGTGCCAGCAAATGCGAGGAAACAGGCAGGCATGGACAAGGGGGTAACCGTTCTCTCATTCATTGTTTTGCCGATCGGCGCGGGCCCTCGCACCACACCCCTCCCCCCCCACCGTGGAGTGGGTCTTGGCTGTTTCGAGCGCCTGCTTCGAGCAGGTGGAGCCTCCCCCCACGGGAGGCACGGTTGCAAAGAGTCGCACTCAGCAGGGGTCTGGAGCCAGACCCCCCACCCCCCCCCTTCCGCCCAGTGCCGAAACGCCGAATCAGAAAACGTTCACCAGCACACACACACACACACTCTTTTGCGTCGGCGGCTGGGCAGAGGAACTGCGCCAGCGGAAGCGCAGTCAAGACGGGGGTACCGTCGAGGCGAGTTTTGTGCCACAGCGCAGGAGACCGGAGGAAGACAGGGCGGCGGCCGAAGGAGGGGAACACCAAGACCCACACACACACACACACACGCACGCACGCACACACACACACACACACACACACACACACACGCACACGCACGCACGCACGCACGCACGCACGCACGCACGCACGCACGCACGCGCGCACGCGCGCACGCACGCACGCGCGCACGCGCGCGCGCGCGCACGCGCGCGCGCACACACACACACACGCGCGCGCGCGCGCGCGCGCACGCACGCACGGACGCACGCACGCACGCACGCACGCACGCACGCACGCACACTGCAGGGGGCCTTTGTCGGTTTCCGCACCGTCTGCGGCGGGGAGGCCTCCGCAGCCGCCCTCGGGCCGCGGCCGCTCGTCGCCGGCGCCCGGAGGGAGAGGCGGGGAGGGTGCGGAGACGGAGGGCCCCCACCAGAGGGAGGCGCAGTCGTGCTTCGCAGGCGACGTGTCTCCCCCAGCACCCCACCTCTCGAGGAAACACGAAGCCGCTCAGGAAAGGAGGGAAGCACTGGGATGGACCCCAAGAGGGCTCTTCGGACGCAGCCCTATCGAGGATGGACGCCCCCCCGTCGTATATCCCAGGGTTGGGCCCCAAATGTCTGGTCCATTCGAAAACCCCACGAAGCCTGGGACAGGGGTCGACATATCCCCTGTTTGTGTGTGGACCGTTGGAAACATCATCCAAACCCATTTGTCCACCTGTCCTCGCTGGGACAATGACTCCCCTGAAGCTCGCTTGGCGCCCAGCTGGGCTTCTGCCTGGACCTTGGCATCTGCCAACAGCTGGGCGATCACTGCAATGTCATCAGCATGGGCCGGAGTGGACTGAGCAGCTTAGCGATCGGCCTCGGCAATTCCCGCACCCGCCTCTGCGGGAGAAGTGGGCGCTCAGCTTCTTTGCGGAGGGCTAATGCTGTGGGGCCCAGCACCTCCGCCACCAACGTGATGTGACTCCACTGCTTGAGCCCTTTTTCTAACACCGCGAGCCAGTCGAGCGAGAAGAACTCGCCGTCCACCAAGGTGACCCCCTCTTTTTCCCACTTGGGATGGCCGAGAGGTCCTGGATGTAGCCCTCGCCTGTAGCATCGCCTGCCGCCGCGACTGGAGGGGCGTGCTTGGCGCAGACCGCTTCCCACTCCATCTTGGTGACGACGGCATCTTGTCCTGCTTGCAGCGCCTTCGCTTGACATTCACGAAGACACTCTTACGCTCCCTCCAGGCGGTGCGACAGCTTCTCGAACACGGCTTGTTGTTCACTGTACGCCGTGACTTTGGACGCCCTTCCTTCTTCGAGCAGCGGGGCACCCTGTGGCGGAGCAGGGTTGTTGACAGCGGCCGCCGTGGTACGCAGCGCCTCGAGCTCGGGGCAGCCCCCAGTCTGCAGACGACCTGCTCCAATGGGTCGGCCTCCTGCACTCTGCTCTGCCCGTGCCAGCGCCGTCACCCGCCCACCGAACCCAGGGCCTCCGATTTGCCGTGGGTTGTGCCTTCGCCTTCGGGGTCGGCGCATCCCCTGGACCTCTGCCGCTCCCTTGGAGGCCTGGTGGCCCTTGGCCCGCGGCCCCATGGCCTCGCGAGCTTCAGCACTCTCTGGCATGTTCGCTTGCTCACACTAGTGGCAGGTCGTGCTCGTCTGGAAGTTCCACGGGCACTGCACACAGCGTCCGCGGGTCTGACCTCCTTTCGCCATGAACCACTGCTCCTCCGGGAGCTCAGGGAAGGCGACCGAGGGAGGGCGGACCTTCTCAGCAGACCCGCGAAAGCCTGCCGAGGAGCAGCGGTATCACTTGGTCCCCAGGGGAAGGCCATGGTCCTGACACCCGGTGTTGCGACGGAGAGGAGAGGACGAGGAGGAGGGCAGGGAGGAGGAGGGAGAGATGGAGGAGGGAGGAGGGAGGCAGGAGGGAGGAGGAGTAGAAAGGACGGAAGGAAGAGGGGAGGGAGGGAGGGAGGGAGGGGGTCCCGAAGGTGAGGGCTGCCAGCACCTGGGCCTCCTCGTAATTGGCGGCGGGCTCGGGTCGGCGGACCTGGCGCGGGATGCCTTCCGCCGTCAGCAGTGGCACCTCAAGAGCGCGGTCGGGCACCCCAGAATCTGGTCGGACGAAGGGGGGAATGGGCAAAGGGGGTTCACCTCTAAAAGTCTTACCCCCTCCAGAATAGGCGGTAGCCAATTATTTGTTCGGCGGCCTCATTGGAGGACTGGGGTCCCACCAATAGGGGGCAACGAATCATTTTTCTGCCGCGGCACCCGCCACGCAACAACGACGACAGCTACGACTACGACTACGACTACGACTACGACTACGACTACGACTACGACTACGACTACGATGAGGAGGAGGAGGAGGAGGAGGAGGAGGAGGAGGAGGAAGAGGAGGAGGAGGAAGAAGAGGAGGAGGAGGAGGAGGAGGTTTTGTGACCAGGGCTAGTCACCGCCGAGGGAAAAGGGGGGAAACAGAACTAAAGACCTGTAGAGGCTAACCGCCGCCCGTGGAAAGTTGGAGCCGCCCGGGGGGTCTGGCCCGAGGTGGCCCAGCACCGCCTTCTGGCCAGCGGAAGGGGCAGGCGGGCTCGACGCGGTGGGCCCGGGGAGGTGCTCTTGTTGCCCTCCTTCCGCCTGCGGGGGTGGCCCGGGGCCGTGGGGAGCGAAGCAGGGGTGAAGCACTGCACCAGACGGACCCCAGGAGGGGTCTTGCTGGGAGCCGACTTTGAGATGAGTTGGCCTCGTCGCCCCCTCCGGATCGATGTTCTACACATACTGTCGGGCCCCAACCGCTTCAGACCCCCCGGCCGCCTCCTCCTCCTCCTCCTCCTCCTTCTCCTCCTCCTCCTCCTCCTCCTCCTCCTCCTCCTCCTCCTCCTCCTCCTCCTCCTCCCCATCCTCCTCATCCTCCTCCTCTTCCTCCTCCTCCTCCTCCTCCTCCTCCTCCTCCAAGTTAAAATCCCAAGCTTCACGCTGCTTCGGGCGCCCTCATACTCCAAGTGCCTAATTACGCAGGTGCTGTCTCTTTTCCTGCCCTGTCAGTGGGCGTGCGGAAACCCAGTCTTCGTGTTTCCACTGCATGTCTCCGCCCCACCTCGATATCAACGTCTTCCAATTTTCAGCGTCCTCCTGCTCCATTCGAAGAAGAAAAATCGCATAAACATAAACGTTGCGCTCCGCACGGGTTCTTCGATCCGCGCCTGGGCCCCCTGGCGGCGCCTCAGGCGCCGCCCCTTGCGCGCTCCGCGCGCCAGGGAGAGGGGTCCAGGGCGAATCCAAGAAATCCGCGCGGAGCGCCAAAAGTTTGTGTTTACATGATTGTTTCTTCTTCTGTCACCTTCAACGTCTTCAACTTTCAGCGTCCAGCGTCCTCCTGCTTCATGTTTCCACTTTCAGCGTCTTCCCACTTCATGCTTCTGCCCACCTCTTCCGCACGACGTGTACGACGTCTCTGCCTCGTGCAGCCGGTCTCGGCCCCGCCGTCAGGCATTGCTCTCCTCGATGCAGTTGCCGCCTCCTTTGGGAGGCGCGGGGAAACCAGGCACCTGCAGCTGGCTCGCTCGGTCCTCCCTCCTCCCTCCTCCTCCCTCCTGCTCCCTCCTGCTCCCTCCTCCTCCTCCTCCTCCTCCTCCTCCTCCTCCTCCTCCTCCTCCTCCTCCCCCTCCCCCTCCCCCTCCTGCTCCTCCTCCCACCCTCCTCCTCCTCCCCCTCCTCCTCCTCCCCCCCCTCCTCCCCCTCCTCCTCCTCCTCC